CCCGGCCCCGGCTCTTCGCGCGGTACCGCCGCACGCCGGTAGACGGTACCTCGGAGCGCGGCCGCGGCCTCAGCCCCGTCGCTCATGACAAGGCTGGATCCTGTCAGCTCCGCTGCTTCGCTCCTCTGGCGCGCCGTACGAAGCGCCGGTTATCCTGAGGTACGGCTTTTTGTGGTCAGTGTTATCAGCCACCAGTATAATAATTCTTTAATGAATTAAAGGGTCTGCAACATTAGACATAAGGGGGGTTTGCTCCTGTAGAGTAGGGAGAACTGGTGTTGTGCAGAGGCTGACTCTGTGGGAACTGCCCGCGAAAGATCTTTGTCTTAGAATCAGATGTATTCTCTTTGTCTCTTTATTTCTGTGGGGTTTTTTCTTTCTTTTTTCTTTTTTTTTACTGGAGCTACTAACGTTTCAGTCTTTGTATATGCTTACATAAAATTTGGCCAGCTCATGCTGTGAGTGCCCATCATGTTCAGAAACCATCACAGTTCTCGGTGCGAGTATCTGCTTCTCAATTTTTGCTTAATGCTAAGAAAATCCAGACATATTCAAACGAGGATGTATTTGTTGTTTTATCCACCTTTAAGCAAATATAGATGGTCTGAACTGCTGATATTCAGCTGACCTGGATCCCCCTTTCGTAATAGGGGATTAGAAATAGATACAATGAATAGAAATAGAAAATATGTGTTGTGTTGTCAAATCACATTATGCTTTTAACTTAAAACCCTTGAGTTCCAAACCTACCTGCCAATTTCTCAACTTGAAGAATACCTGCTATGTTATCTCAGAACCTTCCAGCTACTGAAGTTCATACTTGTTCCCATTTTTCCCTTTTATTTTCTCCAGTCTCCAATCCTGCAAAGACTTCTGTCCATGATCACCTCTGTACCCTGGGTAAGACTGTTAATTTCATTGTCTCACTAAGTATTAGCCATATCCTGATACACTGTCCCCCCAAAAAGAGCTAGTTTTAAACATGTTTCCAGAACTGTGGAAGGTGATGAAGTAAATTTTGCAGAAGACAGCTTCTGGAACTACTGCAAAATTTCTTTTTTTAATTCCTGATATATTCAGTGTATCTAACTTCTTCACTAAAGAATTTGTGAAGACAGAAAAACTCAGAAAATAGAGACATGAGCTAATGATGCTCAGCTTGGTAAGTGAATGCTATTAGTATCAGTAAGTTTCAGTTTTGAATTTTCCTTTTGCAGGACAAGTTCTAAAGAAGGAGGAGTACAGAAATAAATCCCTTACTTTTTTCCCTGCCTTGTACACCATTTCACATATGGCAAGCATGTATAATTCCCAAAGCATGAAAAAGCGCATCTAAATGTAACTTGTGAGCGCAGTTTGGTATCTGTTTTAAATTTTTGTCGACAGCTGCAGATAATATATTATTTTGGAAAAGAGATAATCGTTTAATTAATTTTACTTTTCAGATTTGATATATTTTTACATCAAGTAGATCTGTGAGAATCTGAAATAGAATGCAGCAATACAAAATGCAGAAGGTTTTTATTGTAAAATTGGACTTTCAAGTCATGGTTTAAATGGGGAATTGGTGCTGACTCCGCAAGTTTCTTGGGAGTGTTCCACTAGGGACAGACATTTTAAAAATAATTCCCCCAGTGCACTTAATTTAAGACAGACCAAATACCAGACTGTCTGTCCTGGAGCAAATGAAAGGCTGAGAAAACAGTAGCTGAGCAAGCTTTCTCCAGACCTGTTTTCTGCCCTCTTTGGATCCTTTCCTCTCATATGAGAGCAAATTTTATTGTCTTCAGGCCTGCAGCTTTACATGTTTCATCCTGCCAAGGTTACTTCCTCTGAACAGGGAGTTGCAGTGCTTGGCACAGCCAAGCCCTGACCTTTCTTGGTAAATGCAAACCATTTGCAAGACTGTGGTGTCTCTTCAACAGGGAAACAGCAACTTCTTTGCAGCTTCTTATCAAAGTGTTGATTGTCCTTGTCCTCTCTGTCTTTCATTCTTGACAAAGGTGACTTGGGCTCCCAGTGGAGAGACTTCTCAGGTGGAGTCTCAGTTCTACACAGCACCTCTGTTATATGCTGGACAGAAAAGGACTTTACATGCCTCTTGCAGGTTGGCTTCCAGCACCAGAAGAAGGAGATTACAGTATTTTGGCTGGAGTGCTCAGCTTCAAGACTTTACTTTGTTCTTCACAACCTGGAGGGATATGAAGCCAATCGGAAAAGTGCTTTGTGCTGCAGGGGTCGTAGCTGGGCTCCTAGCTTTCTTCTGGAAAGACCCTTTTAACCCAGGTAGGCTTACCAGGGGTGTCATTCCAAACTGGAATATAAGTGACATAAGAGAAGAAGTTGAATTTCCGGACTCTGACTGGTGGTCTCATTCCTGCCCATAGTCTTACCAGAGTTGGTAGCCCTAAAGCCATGCTTTATTACCAGAAATAAAGAGAAACATGAAACACAGAGGAGGACAAAATGGTCTAACAGCATTTGCAAGGGATCCTGCTGTCTATGTTGGGAAAATATGACATGTACTTTGCCACTGCCTTTCTCTTTTTTTTTTTTTTTTTTTTTTTATTGCTAACTCCTTGGGGTCAAGAACGATCTCTATAGATGTGCAGTGCCCAGCACAAGAGGGCTGACATCTCTAAACTGACGGCAAAGAATAATTGATATGCAGAGGGCAGGAGGCCCAGAGCCTGGTTTAAGTTGTACATCTTTTTGTAATGTGAAAACCAACTTCATCCTAGAAAGATAATTGTCTAAGAACCCAGGCAAAGGCCATGTGACACAGCTAGCTTGCATAGTCATGTCATTATTCCCTGGCAGTGATAGCCTAGGCATAATGTCAACAACAAACATGCAGTAATAAAATGGTGCACCTCTGGGGCAGTTGGGCCTGCAGGTTGTTCCATGGCGACTCAGCCATGCTGGTTGCACACTTTTATCCATTATCCAATTCCATGGAAGAATGCTGAGCTAGGGAGGAGGGATGGGAATGATGAAGCAAGTCTTGGCTGTTTGGTTTCTAGCACACCAGCTGCTGTCTGGGTGAAATGGGTCAGACTGAGCCTTCTGCTTTATGACTGAAGTATGGACCTAGGGTTTGTTAGGATGGAGGAGGGAACTGGCTGTTGCATGTTAGTGGAGCTGGGCCGAGCTGACTGCTGTGTACTGGAGCTTGTCGAGCTAGCCAAGCTTTCCTGTGAGCCAGGCCAAAACAGATCAGTATGGCTGGCTACTTGACATCAGGTGGTTGATGGCTAACGTTTTTGTTGTAGGCACCTGTCAGAATGGAAAAATAGCTCATTCTCCACAGACTAGATGATTTTTGATTCTTTTCAGTCTAGCAATAATTGGAAGGTATTGTTAATCTCATGGCTTCTTTGGGTCAGTCCTGCCTCTTCTAGTTTTGGAGAAACATCAACACTTTTGAGCATGTAACACACGCCTTTCTAGTTTAGAGCTCTGCCAGTAGTTAAGGGCAGCTCCTCTGTTGCTTCCTTCACTTCTTTATTTTTTATTCTCTTTCCCATAAATAAGAGAGCTTGTCTGGTGCCCGTGTTCTCCTGACTGGAGCCAGTGCTGGGATTGGAGAGCAGATGGCATATCATTATGCCAGATTTGGGGCTGAAATTGTTTTGACTGCCAGGAGGGAAGGTGTGCTGCAGAAGGTAAGAACTTCCTAGTATGAGGGAAGACATAAGAGATTTGGACTTTTACCATAAAACCAACAACGAATTAGTTGTCAGGACAATACATTTTTCTTCAGAACTGTTGTTGAGCAAAAACAGCTTAGTTACTTTCAAAATTCTTTCCACTCATGTAGAATATGCCTGTGACATGCTTTAAGCCTGATTTTATGACAATGTCCTGTGCCATTCTTCTCTGTAACTAACTGATCTCCTGAATGTGCTACTTTGTGTTGCCATATACCAGTGCCTGCTGCAGCATGCCTGGTTTTTCGTAACAGAAGGTAGTAACACTGCATACTGGGGAGGCATAGCCCAGAAGGGAAACTATGAAAGATGAACACAGCTAGAGCCTTACCAGGTATTTTGGAACAAAAAGAACTTAATGTAAAGCATAACCCTTATTCCAGCAGAGTTCTCCTAAAGACTGTCTTTTTTAGGTGAATCTTGATCCTTGTCCAAGGTAGATTTAATCTGCATCCTGCTGAGTTACCTCTATTTAACTGTCTGGTTAAACAAAGTCTGGATGCAAAATGAGCTCTTTGTGAGCTGAATAGTTGTAGATTTAAAATTTAAAATTAAAGTGTGTCTCTTTCCAGAATTGTCTCTCACTGACTGTAGTATGGGGAAAAAACAGTGCCTTAGAGTGCCCTTATTTCTTTTCTTCCCCCCCGCCCTTGTTTAATCTTTGTGTGTGTGTTCTTTTTCAAGGTGGTGGAGAAATGCCTGACACTTGGAGCAAAGAATGTGTTTTATATCCCTGCAGATATGTCTTCCCCTTCAGAGCCTGAAAAGGTGGTTCAGTTTGCTGTCCAAAAGCTGGGTAAGCAGAAGTGAGATACTGAGGAGAGAGAACAGACTTTGCTTATCACTCCAGTTTATACCATGTTCCTGTTTTCAAGAAAGGTTTAGATCACACCTGGCCTGATCACTGTTCAGAGATTCTAGTTCCCAAACTATGTCATGCTTCATACTGGCATGCAAGTTTTATGCAACTGATCTGAGACATGCCTTGATGACGCAGTTCTTATCCTGACTTTTATGGCTCTGCCAGTCTTGGCTCCTCTCTGATAACCCCGGAGTGGAAAGATGCAGGTTTCTGTAATTTACCAGCATTCAGAAGGCTGTGAAAGGAGAGGTATCTTTGACTTTTCAGATGTTTGCTGCCTGCCTGGTCAGAACCAGGTGAGTGGAGCAAGAAGAAGGGATTCTGATTCTGATCTCAGTTCTGTCCTCATCTTGAGCATCTCTTTGGCTTTCAGGTATATAGACAGTTATCATTCCAGTAGGAGCCTCCTGCTTCAGTTTCCCCATGTTCCTCACTGAGAGGGGGATGTTTAGGACGGTAAGGTCTGGGATTTGTATATACCAATCTGGGCCTTTCATGGGGAGGGCATGTCTTTTGCTATCGGAGAAAAGTATGCAGAAAGTACTTGCTCACAATGCTTCACTAAAACCACATCCCCATAGCAACAGCTGCAGTACCTCCCCTGACACAGCATCCCGCATGTACACGCATTTGCCATATGTGAACGAGTACCAGCTGCATGCACCCCACCCTGAACATAGTGCCTTGTGTTGAGAGAGTCAAAACCTGGGAGATCTGAAAGCAGTGACCTGCCCCTGTAGTCCAAGAAGGGGAAGATGGTCGTATTTTTCTGAGTTCCTTGGTTGGGGGATGGCCCCTTGGTTTGACTGCTTTTTCTCCTATTCACAGGGGGACTGGATTACCTGGTGTTGAACCACATTGGCATGACCCGTTTCCAGATGTGGGCTGGAGATGTGGAATACACCCGCTGGCTCATGCAGGTGAGGTTTCTCAACAGGAAGAGCTCACCTGGAATTGGGTGAGTCTGGCTTCTCCTGGGACAGCTTGGAAACTCAAAAGCAAATTCCAGCAATGGTTGAGAACAGCCCTTTTATTTCATTCATGTTTCAAGTCAAATGGTTTGGAGGCTTTGTTACTAGGCAAGTATTTTTCTCAGTTTGCATGTATGTGTGCAGAGGAATGTCTGGGAAGAATTTCACTTCTCTCCTTCCTTCTGTCCTTATCTCCCATTAGCCCAGGACTGTAAGGGATTAATGGGTAGTTATGAGCAGTTGTGCAATATATGTCTAGTTAGGAAGGCCAATAGGTGAGGAGCAAGCACTTCCTACTAATCTATAGCAAGTGCACATGTCATTGCAGAACACAATAAGGTTGTTTGAAATAGTGTTTGCCATTTGAGTCTGCTCACAGCTTCAGAGTTTTCCTATAGAATCACCTTGGTACCAGGTTTTGGGACAATGGAGATGAAGACCTGTTTTCTTGATTGAGTTGGGTGGGTCATACTAGTTCTATTTCACGTTTATGGAGCCTGTTTGCTGGAGAGTAGGGAACTTGGGATCACAGGTAAGAAATTTCTTACAAGTTAGAGAGCAGTCAAGCTCAGAAGAGGTGCTGTTGTAGTTGTTAGTGTTGCGTTGTAGTCTCAGCTCAGTCAAGAGAAATTTAGAAGGGGAGCAAATGGAGACACTATGGGTGTCCTTGTTGCTGGATAGGGATTGCAGAGTAAAGAAGGCGTATAGAGAAATCAGGGACAGCTAATTGTTTCTGGTCAAGAAATCTGTATGTTAAAACCCAGGAATAACCTTGACTCTAAATCTTCTCCATTGCTTTTTCTGGAATCTCAAAGACTCATGGATGCAATGTCCCTATCCTCACGGAGATGATTCTTTTTGCTTGATGTTTGAAAAAGCAAATCCAAGCCATGCCCCTTTCCATTTCTGATCACTGTCTTGGGTTTCTGGCTCCTTTCCACCTTTCCTCCAAACTCTCTTGCTTCTTCATGCCTACTTTTATCATCCCAGGTGAATTTCTTCAGTTATGTGGCTCTTGCAACAGCAGCTCTTCCCACCCTGGAGAAGAATAAAGGCTCTCTGGTGGTTGTTTCTTCCCTCACAGGTTAGTGTCTTTAACTGGCATAAGTGCTGGCCTTGTGGAAACAAGGATTCCCAACACATCATGTTTCTGTGTGTCCTTCAACCCCTCAACACATTTTCAAGCTGTGTGTTTTATAGTAGTAAGCAGGATGGTGGATGGCTGGCCTTCTTGTTTTCTGGAAGACCTTCTCTGTGTTGCACCATTTTACATTCCCTCAGAGCTTCGCTGTTCACTCACCATGTGAAGATCTGCTTGTTTGGCTCCTGTCCCTCACAGCCAGGCCCATCTCTCCTGCATTTCTGAACCAGCATTAAGACCATTGTGCCACATTAAGGCCTTCTGGCTTTGGCCAGCCTGCATAGCAGACTGTTGAGTAGCTGCACCTACTGTACAGGACGGAAAGGCAGGAGAAAGACTTCAGTGTCTGCTCAAGGGAGCTGTGTCACCATACACAAGTTCAAACTAAGGTTCATCCCTGCCTTATGATGTAACGTGCCTTGTGTCAGGGAAATGTCATGGCCAGATGCACCAGCATGTCACCCAGTCCATGTGTTTGCATGTGATCGAGGAGAGAAAGGCTGCAGGTAGACCATCACACCAGGCTTTTTAGCCCAGCATGTGACCTGGTTCCTGTGCAAGTTAAATTTCCTCCCCTTATCCACATATGTGGTGGCTTTTATGCTGAGATGAGCTCACATAAAGTGGTATAGTTTTCTAAGTGCCTGCATGTGACTAGAAATAGGGGGAAACTCACCTGAACAGGACATGGGTTGATGCTGGATGGGAAAGCCTCTGTCTTTGCCTAGATTCCCTCTCAATGGCACCATCTTCCATACGGCCACTTTCCTAGTGCTTTCCATTCTCTCCTTTTCCTTTCCAGGGAAAATACCCACTCCCTTCACCACTTCTTATTCTGCAACCAAGTTTGCACTGGATGGATTCTTCAGCTCACTGCGCCATGAACTTATCATGCAGAAGAGAAATGTCTCTGTCACACTGTGCATCCTGGGCCTGATTGATACTGATACAGCATTAGAGAATACCAGGTGTGTATTTGGAGGAGAATGAAGGAATCTGGGAGGGAGTGTGTTTGCGGGAACATGTCTCTTCTTGATAGCATGCAAAAAATGCACCACAACTGCACAAGATGGTGTGTGCATCTGTTTGGATGTGCAAGAAAAGTAACGGGAAGAGTGCATCAGCTTGAGTACATCATGGGGGTTGTGCGTGTTCACCTCAGCATGGAACATGAGCATGCAGAACCCTGTAGTAGTCAGTCTGCACAGTTAAAACCACACCAAGGATTGATTGACTTTGAGTGATTGTCTGTTTCCTTCCAGGGGCAAAGTGCATCTAACTGCTTCTCCTGCTCCTGAAGCTGCACTTGCCATCATCCGAGGGGGTGCCAGGCGGGTACAGGAGGTTTTCTACCCATGGTGGCTGCAGCATGTGTGCTGCCTCTGGGTTTTGTCCCCCGGTGACCGGGACCAGGTTTTACAGAGCTACTATAACTACAGCAGTCCTTAAGGGATGCCCAGTCTCAGCCTCCTCTCCCATCTGACATCCCTTCTAATCACATTCCCCCGTCCCACTAAGTATCCCGTTCAACCATTGGTGTTAAGCAGGAGCAAGGCAGCAGTGGTGGCCAAGTAACCGTAGCTCTTTTCGTAAGACTCTTGTCTCCCTCTCATCCTGCTTCAGCCACAGTACTGATATTTCTGTCAGTCAGAGATCTTTCCCACTGTTCACTCTGCCTTAGCCCTCCACCCATCTCCCCTCCTTCAGTTCACCTCTCTGCTCTCGGCTCCAGCTTTAACCTCTGTGCATTCCTGGGACATCCTGGTCCACTGCTTCATTGTTTTGTGGATTCTGTGAACCTTCTTGCTTCCTATACATAGAATTTTAATCCCGATTTCAATTAAACTTTTTTTTTTTTTAATGTGTTGGTGTTATGTGTTGATGCTTCCTCTGTGAAGCAAGGCTGGTGACCCACCCATCTTCTGTGAGCACAGGCCTGTTGGTAGACATTTGCTGACTGCACAGGACCGGTTAAATCAGCCCTTCATCCTCTAAATGCCAAGATGGGTTGATGAGTCCTGCACTGAACAGGAGGAAGAAGGTAGAGGGAGTTCTTCCCTAACACATTATTCCTATGGATATGTGTCATGGCTTGTAAGTACTAACAGCTAAGAAAAAGCAGTCTCTGCTTGAATCCTCCTGGACTGGGGATGGATAAAAGATCCTATGCGGTCTCCTTCGTGTCAGAGAGGATGGTTATTTTGTGTGGTGTTCCTGTCCGCAATGCATGAATCCTGAAGGAATTTTAAGTGGCTTTGAAAGCTGAACATTTTGCAGAAACTGATTAACAGGTTTGGACTTTATTGGAACAGTCAAGTGTTGTTTAAAAACCAGGCTTGTCTAGGGGATCTAGAACTAAAATGGAGTGTGCAGACTGCCAATTGCAGTCTTCCTTCAATCATAGCTGGTCTTGTCCGAGACAAAAAAAGCAGGTTGAGGGGTACATTCTAGCTGGTGAGAGGCAGCTTCCTGGGAAAGGGTCACTGCATGCCCCTCTCCTTCTTTGCTTGGTTGACAGTTAGGTGCTAGACTTAAAGTGCATTCCTGTTCTGAGCGAAATATAAAAACTTGTGTGCCTGCAAGATATGTCACTGCAGCTTGAGTTCCTATTCTTGTTACTGAGAATGGCATGTGGCACTTTTAGTCACAAGTATGTTTTATTCACATCATAGGAACAGGCACCAACTGAGTGTTTTCCTTCCTCTGTCCTTGCCATTGGCTGGATTTTGATGTGACAAAACTTTCTACAGAGCTGCGTGGAAATAAGAACTCACCACAATTCACAAACTCTGGCGTTCGAACTCACCCTTCTAAAACAGACACCTGCTTGCTTCTCATGACAGTTTGCAGTATACACTTCGGGTCAGTCACTGCAGAATTGTGTGGATGCAGGGGCAAGGAAGCATGAAAAATTGAGGTAGTCCTAAATTGCATTCTCTGCTCATATTCTGCTTTTCTCCAGCACCATTAAATAGGGGGTTCAAAGCAGAAGAAAGACCCATGGAAACTGGTGTTTTTAAAGAGGGGGAGGGTGAACCATGGGCATGGCAATGCAATTGGTTCTCTACCAACCCGAAGCATGTTGCTCACCTTTAGGGCAGCGATGAGGAGTCTGTGCATTTGCCTTCCCCTTTGCCTTGTTCTGTGCATAGCACCATATGGGTTGGGCACTGGCTCTCGACTGATTGACTGATTTCCATTGAGGTGCTGTTGAGACAACCAGTTTTGTTCTCTCGGGTGTGAGCAGAGTACACAGGAGTTCTTAAAAGATGTCTGCTGTCCGCACACAAGAACTGTGACTGGTTTGTGTTTAGCTCGGCTGGAGCTTGGCTGCTGAACTAATTTGTTGCAATGGGGCTAATAAAATAAACTTGCATTTTGGGGATCATATGCTGAACCCTGGAATAAAACCCCACAGCCAGCCTTCTTTGAGACATAGGGACACTGCGTGGAGTTCAGAGTAAGGCAGGGTTCTATTCTGTAGGACTCAGGCTCTGTCATCCATCCCCCTGTGAAATGCTTTTTAAATGACTGCACAGATGATTAGCTGAATGGAAACAGACTTTCCTCACCTTAGGCCTTTGGTATTTGTAAGCATTATCTAAAAGCAGGTGCAACTAACACATGAAGTAAACCCCCAGCTACTTAGCAAGTAAAACTTTTATTAAATTTTTTTTTTTTTTACCAGAGTGAGGAATTTGACATTGACGAAGCTTGTATCGCACCTGTACAGTCACATCAGTAACTGTGATGGAAGAAACTGTAAATGCTTGTTTTAAAGCAGCTTGACGTAGAATTTACAAAGTCCTTTTTTTCCCCATTTTTGCATTTGTTGGTTTTTTTTTTGTTCAAAATTAGATTAAGTTTAAACTTCATGAAATTACTTGTAGCAGAAATAAAGTACATTATACAAATCACGTACATAATAGATGTTAAGTATAAAAATGGTATTTACAATAAGTAAACATGGACTATAGAAACACACAGACTCGCACAGCTTCATCCATCTCTCTCATAAACTCTCAGCATCGGATACAGAGGGGTGGTTGAGGAGATGTGAGGGTACTTAGAGAACTGTGCCATAAACATTTGAACAAAGGGAAACTGAAGGAGGAGGAGAATTGGCTGAGGTTCTCTGAAGTCCCCATATCTCACTTCAGTATCAATTGCATCACTCCATCTCCACCAACCCTCTGTTCATGTTTGAATGCAGACACACATGCACACACACAAGCACACACAGAGAGGGGAATGTTCTTGGTACCTTATCAAACTCTGGAATATTGAAACTAGTCATTCAGGTTTGTGGGATTGGTTGTTTTGTTTTGTTTTTCTTTCCTTATTTTGGTAGAAACTTGAAGAGACAGTTTCAAGTTGTTAAATGGATATGCCTTGTCAGTATGACACACACCTCCACCCCCAGGGGATCTTTGTTAAATCAAGCTCTGAACTATGTTCTGTGCTTAAGTGTATGTGTATATAGCTGTATCTATATATGCTGCATAATGGAGAATCTGTCCCTTGGAGGGGGTGGTGGGGAAAACACCAGAATGTCAACCCTCTTTCGTCATACTATCCTTGTGTCTGCTTGGGAAAGCTTTGCAGAGGGTGTAAGAGGTGAGTCCTCTTGCTAAATTCAGATGGAGAAAATGTCCCGTTTCACCTAGGAATCAGAACTGCCTGCTAACCAGTGCTAGGTTACTTCCAACATGGGGAGGCAGTCTGTAGCCCCTGGGAGGCTTCTGTCACTCTGTTTTGGAGATTGCATCTGCTCACGCTCTGTCATCTTCTCTTGCCTTGATCAAGAAAATGCTCCGTTACCATGGAGAGCTATGAAACATGGCTCTGTGCCACATGTGGGGAGGCAGTTCAGGTCCTGTAGGTAAAGGGACTGGTTTCCTGTGCTTTCAGCCTAATCGAGGAGTGCTCAGGGTAGGCTTTGGCACCAAATTCCAGGAGCTTTGTCTGCAGAAGCCCTTGGAAAGGTAAGACTGAGAGCTCTTGAGATTCTTAACCAGGCCAGTGCTAAGGTTGGTGGATGAGTGACTCGAGCTGAGCAGCTGGCTGTGCCCTAATCCTGGAGGTATGTAGTTCTCTTTCTCCTTGCTTCTTGCCATTGTTGAGCAGAGAGATGCGCTCTGTCTCTCTTGCTCTCTGTCCATCCAAGCATCCTCTCAAAATGTTCAGGCCTATCTGCAGTGCTTGCTGAGAAGACACTGTTGCAAGGGTAAACCCTTAACTTCCAATCCCTCTTGCAAGGAGTCAGTCTCTGAATGGAAAAGTTTGGTCCTGTGAGCCACTTTAAAAAAAAATAGAGACTGTATATATATATATTTATATTTATCTATGAAAGGGCCAGGAGACGGGGAAGGAGGGAGGGACGGAGCTAAGTTTCCATACATCACTGCAGTAACCTAGAGACACACCAGTGGGTTTTCTTGGTCCATGTACTCCAGGCATGCCCCAAGAGGAAGAGCTTCGGGTCCCCAGGGGCTGCTGGTTTTCTGGTCCCTTTGCTATGCACCACATTAGCAGCAAATATGCAAGTCCATCGTGGCAAGAAACTTCCTGCTGGGCAGATATTGAGCCTTCTCTTTAATTGCATGTTTTGGGGAGGAGGACATAAAGAGGATGGGATGGGTAGGTGGGGAGCAGAGGAAGGAAAGGGATGGTGTCAAAAGAGTTGATAAATTTACTGGCCTCTCTGTAAATCAGCCTGAAGCAGAAATTCTTCCTCTGGACTGTCCCTTAACCTGAATAGAAAGGGAGGAGGGAGAGAATTGGGAGATTAGGAGGACATTAAACCTCAGGCTTTGAGTTGCTGTTGCTTAAACATGGAGGAAGATGACCCCAATTAGAAGGGACCAAGATCAGCCAGCCCTCCCTGGTTCCCAGGCTGGCAGGAGCTAGCTCTTTGACAGCCAGCTGTCATGTCAGGCAGCTCTTGTGTGGCCCTTCAGGGTCTCACCTTTTCTCTGCTTTTCTGTGATCTTTTGTGAATCATGGGATTGTTTCTTCTTACCCTGGAAAGCATTCTCTGCAGACTAATTTCAGAGCACATGTAACAACTGAAAACAAAACTATTGCGTTTTTAAACCTTTTTAGGAAGATGAACACTTTTTGGGAGCGGTCAGAAAGTAGACTGAAACCTTGCTTAGACTGCAGGCAGGTAACTTGAACCCCTCTGCCTGAGTGCACTAACAGGCCTTAATGGCCGTGACCAGCCCCACCGGTGGCCTCTGTCCACACTCTGGGCCCACGGGCCCAGGGGTCTCATGACAGCACAGGCCTGCGCCTCCAGTCCGTGTCTCATCTACATCGTGGACCTGTCCTGTCCATGGATCTTATTATCTGGATTCCAACCCTTGTGTCAGATCTGTTTATTATTCTCATTACAGAGCTGCTGGCACTGCCCCCGACCCTGGCCAGCACCATGTAGGAACTGTGTT